AACCCTACCACTACCCCTTACCCTAACCCTAAACCTACCCTTACCCCTAACCCTACCTCTACCGCTTACCCTAAACCTAACCCTACCCCTACCTCTAACCCTAGCCCAACCCTAACTCTACCCCTAACCCTGATAGGGTTAGGGGTAGGGTTAGGGCTACAGTTAGGGCTAAGGTTAAGAGTAGGGTTAGGGTTAGATTCCTGTCATAATTCCCTTAATTTTCCCTCCCTCTCCTGTTTTGCCACTTTTCCGAAGTCCGGAGCACTTTGGCACTTCTGAAATTTGGCACTTCGGCAATTCAGTTTGGTTCGGCACTTCCGAAATTCAGCACTTCGGCAATTCGGAACTCCACAATTCGGTTCAGTTCGGCACTTCCGAAATTCAGCACTTCAATAATAATAATAAAAAAAATAATATAACAAAAAAAATCAAATAATATTAATTAATAATATATAAATATAAATAATAATAAAAAAATAATAAAAAAATTATATAATCCAAAAAATTAAAATAATAAATAATAATATTATTTTATTTTTTTTTATATAAAAATGCCCACCCCCCACCAAGGCTCTGCAACACAAACACACACTGCATCACACACACTGCACTCATACACACACACTGCATTCATACACACACACTGCACTCATACACACACACTGCATTCATACACACACACTGCACTCATACACACACACTGCATTCATACACACACACTGCACTCATATACACACTGCATTTATACACACACTGCGCACTCATACACACACACTGTAAATAAATATTCAATTAATATAATTTTTTTTAGGATCTAATTTTATTTAGAAATTTACCAGTAGCTGCTGCATTTCCCACCCTAGTCTTATACTCGAGTCAATAAGTTTTCCCAGTTTTTTTGGGTAAAATTAGGGGCCTCGGCTTATATTCGGGTCGGCTTATACTCGAGTATATACGGTACTTTGTAGTATCAAAGATAAAAACTACAAAATATCAAGCTGCTAAGCGATACAGTAAATGGAACTGCAGGCTCGGATACTATGTACAATAGATCGTGATGAACTGAAGCAAAGTAAACTGGATAGGTAATCAAAAAGAGTCCAGTTTATTAAACATTAAAAATATATGAAAATATATAAAAGATAGCTAAAATAAAAAATTAAAATATAGATCTGCTAGATTGCAAAGGCAAGACACAAATCGCATTCACCAGCAACAGTTCATCTTCCCAAGCAGGACCTTTGGTAACAGCAGTAACCGGCATCGCCTGTTTTGCACGTCTCCGGGAGTGAGGCTTCTTTTCGGAACTTGCACTCAGAATCACGCCGTCCTCACCGGCAGCCGGAATACCAACCACTCACCAACAGTATCCAGTAATCCGAAGGTCCTTGCTGGTATTTGATTTACTAGAGCCTGGTAATGCATTTATGAACTGTTTCTGATCTATATTTTAACTATATTTTATATATTTTTAGCCACATTTTTAGCCATTAATCACTAGCCAGCTCCTGGAGTTTACACACTTTATTTTTAAGGTGATTTTTAATTATCCAAGCCTAGCCAAAGTGGGTGACTTGTACGTGTTAGGGCAGATAAACCTTGTGCTAATACTGATGCTCTATAATAGGTGAGTACATCCAGCATACCCATCCCTCCTTTATGGAAGGGAAGCCAGGACAGGCGCCGTGTGATCCTGGGCATTTTTTTCTTCCAAATATGGGCATTGAGAATCTTTTGGAATGTTTTTATTAAACTATTGGGTAAAGCCATCGAGATTGTCCTGAATAAGTATAATATGTGAGGTAAACTCATCATTTTTATCGTGTGAATTCTACTTAGCCAGGATACATCGAAGTCTTTCCATGTATGTAGTTGTGTGCGCAGCTTCTGCGTGAGGGTCATATAATTTTCAGGTATTAGGCATTTAGTCGTCTTGGTCAGATTGAGTATTTGCGGGATGTTTTCCGCCAATCAAAAGGGAAAAGTGTTTGCAATTGTTGCGTGATTGATTTTGGGAGGCCATTTGGAAGGGACCTTTTTTGTGTTATTTTTATATATGAAATCTGCCTATATTCCTTTAAAAGATCTAAGAGTTTGGGGATAGATTTTTCAGATTTTGTGAGAAATAATAAGATATCATCTGCAAAAAGTGAAATTTTTATTTACATTTATTTTTACCCCCTGCTGGAGTAACAAGACCACGTATATTTGTCTCATTTTTAATGCATTAAACCAGTAGTTCGAGGCAGATAATGAATATAATGGGGGAAAGAGGGCAACCCTGTTGGGTCTCATTTGTAATCCAAAAGGGTTTGGACAAGAAGCTGGAGTTAAACATTTTTGCCAAGGGGCTAGTGTACAGTGCCATGATATTGCTGATGAACTCTGTTGTGAACCTCATACCCTTTAAGGTATCTGTCATGTAGTCCCAATTTAGGTGATCAAAGTTTTTTCAGCAAGGCAAGGATCACCCTTGTTGTTTGTGGAGATTTGCCTTGTGTATTAAGTTTATAAAGTGCCTGGTGTTGTCCCCCACCTGCCTCCCTGGGACAAATCCAGCTTGCTCAGCTGAAATCAGATCAGGCAGCAGAACTTGTATTCTATTTGCTAAGAGCTTTGCATACATTTTTATGTCCACATTGAGCAATGATATTGGGTGGAAATTTGTGAATTCCATTGAGGGCTTTCCAGATTTTGGTAGGATAACCACATGGACTTCTAGCATCTCTTGTGGGTGTTATCCTTTTCTTTTGATATGATTAAATAGGGCTGTGAGGCGAGGGAGTAATACGGGAGCCAGTTTGGCATAGTAATAGGTGGGGAGTCTGTCAGGTCCTTTGACTTTTGCGATTGGGTGTGGAGAGGATGACATTGTGGACTTCCTCTTCCGTGAATGTGGTATCTAAGCTACATGCTTGCTGTGCTGTCAATTTGGGAAGATCAATTCTATTTAAGAATCTGTGCATGCCTTCTGCTGTGGATTGAGGTGTTGCTGGATCATATTTTAAGTTATATAAACTGTTATAAAAAAGGGCTAGTTCTTTCACTATATCTGACAGGTTATATAACTTGGGTAAATTAATATGTGGTATTTTTGTTTGTAAATATCTGGATTTGAGTTTATTTGCTAGAATTTTGCCAACATTATTGCCATGCAGGTAATGTTGTAGTTTAAGGGCTCTCATTTGATTTTCTACTCTATGTAATAAGAGAGCGTGTAATTCATTTTGTGCCTGCGTTATTCGTTTAGTAGTGCTATTGGAAGGGGATTGTTTATTAAGCGCTTCCAGGGTTTGCAATTCCTGAAGGAGACGCTTCCTAGTTGTGTGAGTAGATTTTTTTTAAAGCGCATCCTAGCATTATAAATTCTCCCCTCATGACTGCCTTATGGCCGTCCATCGTATTTTACAAAAAGTAATTTAAAACAGTAGAGGTAATATATGCGAATGTGGTGGTTTTATCCAATAAGGAGTCATTCAATCTCCATGTACCCCTTCAGTGTGACTGTGATTGGGTGTGATCGGACCATGTGCAAAATCTTATGGAGACATCTAAGAGATTTGAAAGGAAAGATTTATTCACTAAGCAAAGGTCTGTTCTAGTATATGTTGAGTGGTTTGGGGAGAAGTATGAGTAGTCTTTCCACATTGGGAATGTTGTACGCCATGTGTTGTACAAGTCATGTATCTGTAATAGGTTGACTAGAGTTTTGCTGTTCAAGTTTGCTGTACGTGTGGAAGCAATGTTTCCTGTTCGTTGTATGTCTAATTCTGGATCTAGCGTGCATTTAAAGTCTCCGCAGACCAAGACCAGTCCCTGTCCTAGCAATAACATTTTGAGAGTTTTACGTAAGAAGGGTATTTAAGCTCTGTTGGGGGCATACATTGGGGGTCCTTGCAATGAGGATCAATAATCTCCCCATGTCATTGACATATTTTATTGTTACTTGAAAATCTCAATCCCTGCGATTTGTGCATTTCTTGGATCGCTATACTACGTTTTTGTGGACTGTTCAGTCCTTTAACATTAAGAGACCACATTTTACAAGGGTTAGGCATTCTGGTTGTGGATCATATTGTCAATTGAGAGCACCAATCTTGTCCAACCCTACTGGGAGTGCTAGCTTTACCTGCCTGTTGGTAGATTCTATCTGGGAATATATGTGTACCTGCCTGCTTAAAAACATTGTCGGGGGACCGAATTGGCACAGGACGCTCCTTCTGATCCTGAAATGCCTTCAGTGCCCTTAGACCTGCACCTTTTCGCTTGGTACGAACCCGGGGGTGGAGGGGACAAGATACTCAGAAAGAGAGGAGATAGACACAGGGGTTAAACATAACCAAAAATGTAACAGTAACATAAGTATATACAGTGCAACTTTGCTGGGGAAGCAAAGACTTCGGCCAGGGGTGGCAGGGATACCTATCCTGCCCATCAATATGGCCTGGGGGTGCTGCCAATATGGTAATGGAAATTTAAATGTCGTGGCCAAGGACTATCGTCTTGTATAACTACTATGGTTAGGGCAGCCATAACCCGCTATTGCCCTGAGTCCACTGAGTAATCAACCACGACTATGAATGCGGCGTGTCTTGACCGCTAATACGGTCCTTATGAGCCTGTTAGCTTGGGCATGAATAAAGGTGGAACATTAGTCGAGGTGGAACGCCTTGTGGGGTTTCTAGCCGGTTAGGTTACGTTAAATCTCCTCGCGTGCTAACGGCATGGGACTTGATACCTACAGTATTAACTGGGGTAAAGGAAAAACTTAGCCCACTAAGGGTTCTACCCACCTATTATCTAACTACATCAATGTCCCTTTTTATTGCTATACTGTGCGTTTTGACTGGTATCATTTTGTAAGAAATTGATATTCCAAACTGCAATATTGTATTTAACTTTCTGTGTTGTGACTGGTTTCACAAGTTGGGGTAATTTACTTGATAACAGTGTGATAAGTATCAAAGCATTCAGTTGCATTTTACACCACCCAGCTAAGACAAAAGCTTACATCCCTCCAGCAGTTCTCCTGCCAACCAGTTTTAACATCTAGGTGTAACCATGGAAGTGTGTGTTTTCCCAAGCAATCCTGTCCAATCTACCAAGAAACCTAATCAACTGGTCTTTCACAATGTTACAGTATGGCTGGAGGGAAGAGATCAAAGGGAAAGACTTGTGTAAAGACAGAACTCTCTGGAGAAAGAGGGCGGGATAAACCACTTTTGGGAAGGAAAAGGGATTCTGGGACTTGTAGTTTATTACTTCAAGAATCAGTCTTGAAAAGGACAACATCCAAGGAAGGCTTTTTCTCTCTCTCTCTCTCTTTGGAGAGGACAGCGCAGCAAGCAGGGCCATGGTGAACTGAGAGAGGCTGTCCCAGATTACCCAAGATGAAGGCGCAAGGGGAAGACCTGCATTTAAATGTTTAAGTATTGCCCTTTTATTATATAGCTTTTGATTATGTACTGGATATAATGTATAATGTATATTGTGTATATCCTTTTAAAATCTAACAGTATCCTTAAATGAATATTTACAATACATTTTATTATACACTTGTGTTTGTGTCTTATTTGTCACACATTCCCTAAAAGAATATCCTTGTAAGAGGGTTATAATTTAACACCTTAACAACAACCAAACTATGGTACTCGTTTCCACATGAGCTAGGTAGATGGGGTTAACAACAATACGAGCTCCAGGTCACGTTAGCCTTAACTCTTAACAATCATATTTAGTGCGTATATATACATTTTGCCAAATTTGTCCCTTGAGTTGAAATTTGTTTCTCTGTATTATTTATTATTTTTGTGTTTATATATATTTTGTGATAAAGTGAAGGCAGAGAGGCCTTTTAACCCCAGGAGAAGTATGTGTTGTATGTGTGGTGTGCAACACAAAACTACGTTTAGTTATGGGCCCCTGAGGTGAAGCATTTGGAGAACAGGGTGGGCCAATGCTCCACTCCTCAGTTTATACACAACTGGGAGAAATAAGGTCCAGGCCAGAGTTTTTTAGAACTGTCTTCAACCCATTGCTCAGCTGCAGATAATCAGCGGTAGCAGTGGGAATAAACCCCTCCCTGCTAGGCAGGTAAAGGAGATTGCTGGCTTCCTCCCAGGAAGCAGGTAGGAGAGAGGCTGTTCTCTCCAGTGAGAGAGTCAAGGAGACTGAGCACTGTGAGTGCAAAAGGAAAGCAGTCAAGGCTGGCTTGGAGCAATGGGATCACAGAAGGAAGCAGTCAAGGCTGGCTTGGAGCACTGGGAGTGCAGAAAGAAAAGCAGTTAAGGCTGTCTTGGAGCACTGGGAGTGTAGAAAGAAAAGCAACAGGCTGACTAAGCACTGGAGTGCAGAGAGCTGACAAAGACACTAGGTTGGTGAAACCAATATTGTTTTGTTCCAGTTTAACCCCTGAGAGATAGGTAATCTAATGTTAGTAAGTGCTCAGACGTGCTAGGTTTTTTGTTTATAGGGATTTGTGTTATATTTATGTTTTTTCATTTGCTGCTGTGTGGGCTTACAAATAAAGTGCCTGGATTATATGAAAATAAAAGGACTGTGCCTGTTGTTTACCCTAGAGGACTGTGCTATCTGCAAACAAGGATCACAATATTTTTTGTATTGTTCTTGTTTTTTGTTTTTTTTGGATAACCAATGTCAGTAAGTAGACAAAATTCTTATCGCTCTTGCGACTAACAGTGCATCTAGCCCAGACGGTGAACAGGAGATCGTGATGATGATCCAGCAACTCGCCATTCCTGCTGGAATTTCTTGGATGAGTTCTTCTACTCCTTGTCTGTGTCCGATACAGGAAACAGTCCCCATTCTTTGATCTTTGCGAGGCCTACTTCAGGCTCCAGGATCGCCACGGATCTGCCCTTGAACCACACCAACAGTTTTATGGAGTTTTATGGAGCCTGGAGTTTCCTCGCTAAAGTGAGGAGTTGATCTTTTGATTGAAAATAATGGAATCTTGCTATGGTGTCTCTGGGGGTGTCAGCGGTAAATTATGGGGGTAGTGGCAGCCTGTGCACGAGGTCCATCTCCCATGCGTCATCAAGGCCCGACACCAGTAGTTTGCAGAGTGCTGTGATATACTCTGTCATTTCCTCCACGATGACTGGGTCCACTATGCCCCGAAAGCGTATATTTTTACGCTAGCCCATTCTTCCAGATTGGCCATCTTGTGCTTGAGTGCCGCGTGGTCTTCTTCAATCTTTTGCAGCCGCTCAGTTACCTTGTTGTGCGCCTCACAGAGCTCCTCAGTTTTATTTTCCAAGTGGCTTGTCCGGCCGCCTAATTCCGCCATGTCCTTGTGTAAGTCGGCAGAAAGCTGCTTGAAGTCCTGCTGACATGTGGCTCTTAATTCTTGCATCACAGGGTGCAGGCTTCCCTCTGTGAGTGGGGAATCTTCTTGGGTACTGAGGGTAGATTCTGAGTACGGAGTCCCCTCAGATATGGGAGACTGAGCCTCGGCATCACTGCCATCTTGAATTTGCCACTGACTGTCTTTTTTGCCAGTACGCACCGATCGGTGAGTGTAAGCTGTTTGGTCGGTGCCATCAATATCAGCAGGGTGTGCACCAGCAGAATGACGCTGTTCATTTCCGCTCGTTGCAGTTTTTAATGTGTATTAGGCAAAGTGGAGTCGGGAGCTCTCACTCCATGCAACCATTGCAAGCAGAAGTCGGACACGCCCCCAGGTATTTCATTTTTAAGAGAAGTTAAAAATAGGATTAAGGTAAAGGGTTTATTTCAGGTTTAGGCTTTGGGTACTAGAGTTTGAAGTACTCACCCTCCTATGTCTTCTGTAAACCTGTCAGATTAATGCTATTAGAGTTACATGAGTGCTTAATCCGTGTATCAGATAAAGCTTTCCCTGCTTCTCCTTCAATGCATTTTCTGTCTCAGAGTTTACTAGTGGGCACTGGGAAATTATTCCTTCCTCACCCTTTGTAGCTCCACACACAGACACTGGTGGAACTGGGACAGCACTGAATTTTACACTCTCTAAAACTGCTCCTGCAAGTCTGCTATTAAGGCTAACTGGAGTATAGAGGACACTGGACAAGGTTCCTGGTACTTATCTCCTTTTTTCATCCTATTTAAGTTCAAAAAGGCACATTATAGGGGAGTGGAGCCAGCACTGGATCTGAGAAGACACAAAGAGCTCCAGTTTGAGGACTTTTAAAAGCAGATTTAAGCAGACAAATAGGGTGGGGGGTGGGGAGGAACTCACAGCACACTACCTGGCACCAGCCACAATGTGGAAAATGCTCAAAGATGTTGTGAACTTGCAGGGGGGCAATTCTCATGATATATAGCCCGAAGCATACAGAGACCCACACTTAGGATGGTAGCCACAATGGTGGAGGATTCTTCCTTCCCAGAGGAACACGATGCTCCTAATGTCTTTCCCATGATGAGTCTTTACAGCCTCTGCTAAGAAGAGGAGAATGCCGCCCTTTCCACAAAGGGAGATATTTAAGCTGTGCTGAAGGAGCTGAAACACATTTTGAATACAATGGTGGAAAAGGTCTGATAAGAGGTACACAGTGGAGCGGAAAGTGGAGGATTTTGCCAAATCCTGCACTGAGGTCTTTCCAGCCTCAAAGAGTCCTGTGACTCTATGCATACCATAATGTCAGCATTAGAAGATGTCCTCTCCACCCCAAATTTTGCTTAGATATTGGCTTTGTCTATACACATTGCATATAACGTTGCATTTTAGTTTTGACTTACAGTCTGCACAGGCATTTAACTGATGCAAGCTAGTTTGCTCTATATTTAGCCCAGAATCTAGACCTAACACCCAGATTCATTTTTCACACATACACACACAGCTTCCCATTAAGCCACTTTAGTTATCTATATAATTATACATTCTGATTTCTCAATTGGCAATTGGTGGTTGCATTTTGATTGCTTAGAAATTTACAATATGCTATAGTGTATACATATAGGTTTCTCTATCTATTTGATCCTCAGTGTTAGTTTTGTTGTGCCCTGAAATAATGGCAAACAACTGCCAGTGTTGATCTATGTAAACTAAAATAATGCAGAAATGCTCTTTTCATGAATACTAACACTGTTATTGTACCTGTATACCAAAAATAAAGAATTTTTAAAAGACACATTAGTGCTGAAAACAGGCAAATTTGGGTTTTCAGGTTCCTGTAAGCATATTCTGCCTAATTGGAAATCTGTCCCAGACTGTATTCAAATCCTAGTAGCATATTTTTACTTGTTATTCTGTCATATACATTTTCTTTCCATTCTAACCCTGAATTTATACAAAGATGGAAAGAGATCAAAACAGAATATATGTATAGAGAGAAAGGAATGAAAACCTAATTATATCTGAAACTCAGAATACACACACATTCTGCTCTTGAGGTTATTTCCTTTACTATGTGAAAAGCAGAAGAACAAACATTTTTGGATACTGTCAGCATAGAAGCCATAACAAGGTCAGGTCTCACCTAATTTGGGCCATGTAACACATCAGGCCAATCAGTGAAAAGCAAGTAATCCCAGGGAGCAGAAACAGATGGGGGTACTAAAAAAGAGGCAATTAAAGGAGAAAAAGTAACACTCTGCTACATGTAGCTCAGTTATGTTATTTATTTCTAGACTTATTTAAAAAAAAAAAATGTTATAAAAAAGTATGTTCCTACTTTTGTAAGTAATGGCCTTAGGGCCTCTGGCTTCCTCTTTTTTTTTATATTAATCCAGAGATTCTGGATAATAAACTAATAAGTCTCTTTTTAAATAAGTTATTTTTTACTCTTTGTACGTCACTACCAGAATTACAAGATGCACTTAGTAAATGTGTGGCAATTTTGTACCATAAGGTAAATCCTAAAACACATTTCAGGCTCTTCTGAAAAGTAATATAATATTATATAGCCTCATTATACAATCTCACTGATATACATAAGCTCATTGACATAAAAACACAAGCTCACAGATGCACACAAATAGGCTCACTGACAGTCTCACTCACATGCACAGATAAGCTTATTGGTATACACACACACACAAATGCAGTACAGACAAACTCTGACACGCACAAGCTTACTACAGACAAGCTCACTGTCACTGACACATGCTTCCTACAGACAAGCTCACTGACACACACAAGCTCACTACAGACAAGATCACTGACACACAAATTCTCACTACAGACAGGTTCACTAACACGCACATGCTCCATGCAGAAAAGCTCACTGACACACACATGCTTCCTAAAGAAAAGCCTGTTGACACATGCATGCTCCCTACAGAAAAGCTCATTGACACAAACATGCTCACTAAAGAAAAACTCATTGACACACATATGTTTCTTACAAAAAAGCTCACTGTCACACGCATGCTCCCTACAGAAAAGCTTACTTGTGAACTTCTTTGTGGTGAGCATGTGTATGTCAGTGAGCTTTTCTGTAGGGAACATGTGTGTGTCAGTGAGCTTGTCCATGGTGAGCTTGTATGACAGTGAGCTCACCACAAACAGGCTCACTGACACACACATGCTCCCTACAGAAAAGCTCACTGACACAAACATGCTCACTAACGAAAAGCTCATTGACACACACACGTTGCCTACAGAAAAGCCCACTGGTATGCACATGCTCACCACAAACAAGCTCACTGACACGCGTTCACCACAGACAAGCTCACTGACATACACAAGCTCACTAACACACATGCTCCATACAGAAAAGCTCACTGACACACACTTGCTTCCAACAGACAAGCTCACTGACACACACATGCTCACTACAGACAAGCTCACTGACACACACATACACACTCACTCACTAGCAGCTACACACACAAGCTCACTCACTAGCAGAAACACACACACCTCACTTACAAGCAGGCACACGCATTCAAGCTCACTCACTAGCAGACCCAAACACAAGCTCACTCACTAGCAGGCACACACACACAAGCTCACTCACTAGCAGGCACACACACATACACAAGTTCACTCACTAACAGGCACACACACAAGCTCACTCACTAGCAGGCACCCCCCACACACATACAAGCTTACTCACTAGCAGGGACACACACAAGCTCACTCACTAGCAAGCACAAGCTTACTCACTAGCAAGCACACACACTCAGTAGCAGGCACACACACACACGCTCACTCACTAGCAGGCACAAGCTCACTCACTAGCAAGCACACACACACACACACACAATCTCACTCACTAACAGACACACACATACAATCACTGTTATTGCTGAATCTTACCTGGCAAAGGCAGGTGAAGTTGCCATTTTGAGGCCTCTTACTTCCAGCGAGGTTAGCAATATTTGTGTGGGTGGAGCTTGCATGTGTTAGGTGGGGATTTCATTCAGGGGTGTGGCTTACTTGAGGGAGCAAGGCATGTGCGGCCGCAATTAGGCCACCACCAGCCTAATTGCGGCTGCACCAACCCCTTGCTCCTCCTTCTTTACTCCCCTCGGACTGGCAAAGGCTGGCACAGTCCAAGGGGAAAATATTTAATTACAATAGCCTGAGGATTAGGGATGTCTGCTCAGCACCAGGTGCCACGGCTCACCAGGAAATTTCCTGGTATCACGGTGGGCCAGTCCCGCCCTGGCTGTGCTTGTAGGGAGCAGGAGATGTGCCATTGATCCTAGTATACTTCAGCAAACCAAGACATTGTGGACAATGCTATTCTTAATTTTTTAATTTGTGTGTTTCAATCAGACCCATTCCTACAAGTATATAAAATGAAGCACTGAAACGTGCATTTTGCATTTACAAACTTTTGTGGGTACATTATCAAAATCACATTTCAATGCTTAACCCCTTAAGGACCAAACTTCTGAAATAAAAGGGAATCATGACAGGTCACTCATGTCATGTGTCCTTAAAGGGTTAAACAAACATTGCTAAATATTTCTGTGAAGCATCACATAAAAAAAGATTTAAATGTTTTATTTATTGTTGTAATATACAGAGAATTGACAGTTAATCTTTAATTAATTTATTTGAGGAGTTGTTAATAAAAGTTTGGTGATGTTGCTTGCAAACATCATCAACTAGGGTAGGTGTTTCTGGGTGTTTTTTAATTATCTGAAATGTGTTTTCTAAAGTTCTCTTTTTTTTCTGTTGAATTCAATAAATGTATAATGTTCTTGTTAGTGTTAACGCTAACATGGTACATAGTGTGTCCATTTTTTGTAAAACTGATTATGGGAAAAAGAGATTGTGATCCCATTGTACAGTGCTACGGAATGTGATGATTCTATATAAATAATAAAATAATAAAAATAATAATCACACTGTCATTATTAATGGTGCACTGGCAGCCGTTAACATGTCCCTAATTATCTAATTATGGACTGTGATCAACCCCTGTATTAGGTAATCGGTTTCATCCTACTTGTGATGAGTACATAGGCTATATACAAATAAAAGAAAAAACGATTATAAATAGGATGGCGCAAGTGAGAGAAGGATCTTAGTAAGTTTTCTTATAATTGTCCTATTTATTGTTACACCCCCCCCTCTCAAAATATTGTAAAGCGCTACGGAATCCGTTGGCGCTATATAAATGGCAATAATAATAATAATAATAATAGTACATGCAGCAACCAACAAAAACAAATCCTGGTTAAACGATTTGAACATAAAATAACTTACAGTAGTGATGGTGCGCAACAACAAAGAAATAAAAATCATATTCACTATGGACCTCTTATAGAGAGTGAAAGTAACCCTGTGTACATAAAATGAGGTGTTTACAGAGTGGAAATATTATTTGTTTGACAAAGCCCTGTGGGTGGGGCGAAATGCATTACGGACCCGGAACCAGGAAGTGATTTGGAGACAGTCGGCAACAGCAACCAGGATAGCAGCCGGAAGATTTGTTTACATTACATAAGTATATGGAACCTTCTTTGCGGTTTCCTGAGGCTGGTGAGCGGACTAACTAACTCCACAACAAGTTTTGCTGTTTTTTATTGTTATTAATAAAGTATACTTACCTGAGATCCGGATTGCAAGCTTCCTTTCCACGGATCCCACGCACTCTAGTGGCTGATCCTCCCTGAGTGCTATAGCAACGAGTGGTGCTTTTACCACTCCAATCTTGTGTCAGAGTGATTTCCATGTTTGCAAGTATACCTACAGATTGTGTTTTGTTTTACTACAACCACTGTTTGGTTTTAAAGTATTTATAATATTTCCACTCTGTAAACACCTAATTTTATGTACACAGGGTTACTTTCACTCTCTATAAGAGGTCCATAGTGAATACGATATTTTTATTTCTTTATATACAAATAAAGACAAAGGAAATTAAACATTATTTCTCCAATATTTTAGTTGAAACCCTTTTGTTTTACTCCATGATGAAGAAAATAGAAAGTATTTCACAGTAAATTATACATGTCAATATCTGGTAGGACTTCAAATGGATTACTTGTAAAATTTCCTTATTCACAGCTGTCAGAAATATTTATGAAGAACCTTGAGACATAAGGTAGATTTCATTAAGATGAAAATGTAGAAAATAGATTATGCACAAATCGTATAATGTAATTGTAAAATGGATAGTTAAAACACTTTATACTGATTTTTAGAGTACTTTAAATAACGACACTGTAGAAGAAACTGTTAGCCCATCATCACCTTTCATGCCATGCTTATTAGGTGAGAGAACTGTCTACAAATCTGGTTAAATTGCATTTTACACCTGGTTCACAATTCTAAAAAGCAGCACATACATATAACGTAACTCAAACAAACATTTCTGAACTGCAGAAGTCCCATTTGAATTGATAAAATTACGTGAAAAAATGCATTCTTCTGTTGGGATATTTTTACATTACACAAATCACAGTAATTTAAATATAATTATTTCAATGCAAATTAAATATGTATGTGTTTATGGATAGCAATTGGTACAAATATTTATTTTCAAATTTAAATCCTTAAGGACTGAGTCAATTGTACAAGTTGTGATCAAAATAAGACCTAAATAAAACTTGGAATTTGCACTATATCAGGTTCAACCATAATTCACCTCTTTCATATTAAGTGCACCCACACTTATTATATATGTTTGTTCAGGCGTAACAGGGCTTTCATTTTATATCAAATATTTATATATAAAACATAATTTAAAATGAATAATATATTTAAAAAAAAGGGTGAGTGAAATTAAGGCATTTTTGTTATTTTTCAAGTTCTGCATGACATTTTAACTGTGAATGTCATAATACTGTTGGATTTTATTGCAATAAAATACACATGCTTGTATTCAGAAATGTCTCACGAGTACAACAGTACCCCCATTTTTATTTTTATTTTATTTTTTTATTTTTTATTTTTAATTAATAAAGTATACTTACCTGAGATCAAAATATGTCAAATATTGGGTTTTCCTTTTTTCCACATTTGCACATTGAAATTTGCAAGATTAGTTTGCTGGGCATATGTCGCTTTTGAGACCATAATATATTATATTGATAAGCCTTCTATGTGCAACAGTGTCAAAAGCCTTACTGAAATCTAGGTAAGCAATATCTACTGCACCACCCTAATCTTTTATTTTAGTTACCCATTCAAAACAATCAATAATATTAGTTTGGCATTATCTTCCTGAAGTAAACCCATGTTGTCTCTGATCTTGAAATCCATGCTTTTTTTAGATGTTCAACAATCCTATCCTTTAACATGGTTTCCATTACTTTCCCCACTACTGAAGTAAGGCTTACTGGCCTATAGTTGCCCGACTCCTTCCTACTACCTTTCTTGTGAATAGGCACAATATTTGCTAACTTCCAATCTTCTGGGACTACTTCTGTTAACAATGGTTGGTTAAATAAATCTGTTAATGGTTTTCCTAGTACACCACTAAGCTCTTTTAATAACTTTGACTGTATTCCATCAGGTCCCATTGACTTATTTGTCTTTACTTTTGACAGTTGAAATAGAAGCTCTTCCTCTGTAAACTCACATGTAACAAATGACTCATTTGTCCTTTTTCCTAACTGAGGCACCTTTCCTTCAGTAAATACTGAAGAAAAATATTCATTGAGGCAGTCAGCTAGACCGTTATCCTCTTCTACATACCTTCCTTCTTTGTTTTTAATCTAACTAACCTTTGTTTTACTTTTGTTTTCTCATTTATGTACCTAAAAATGTTTTGTCCCTTTTTTACTGACTGTGTGTGATTTGGAAGCTCTTATAACATGCTTAGCCTCTTTTCGCCTAATCTTACAGATTACAGATTTTTTTTTTTTTTTTATAATTACTAAATGCTTACTTTTAGTTTTTTACTATTTTGGCCACATCTGTGGAGTACCACAGTGGTTTCTTGAATTGTTTGCTTTTACTGACAAACCTAATGCAATTTTCTGTTGCCTTAAGCAGTGCAACTTTTAAATAATCCAATTTCTCTTGGGCTCCATTTAAATTGCTCCAGTGTGATAATGACTCCTTTACACATATGCTAATTTTACAAAAGTCTGTTTTTTTTTAAAAGTCTAAAACTTTTGTTTTTGTGTGGAGTGACTCAGTCACTGTT